TAATATATTTTCAAATTTAACTTATTCTTGTAATGGCAAAGCTGAATTTTCAGCAGCAATTAATAAAGTCTTCAGCGTCACATGATCCTGTGTAATTTTCATTTATCTACAGCTCAGATGCAGAATTCTGAAGTGAAATAAAGTAGCACTGTAATATTATATATATATATTTTTTTTTTTGATGAATTAACCAGAGCGAGCTAGAGAGAGTAACCTAATAGTGAAGCTTGTTGGTTTAATTAATTACAACGAAGTGATCACCTCATGCTGATAAATATAATGTAGCTTTGAGTAGCGAATTTTATTTATAAAAGTCACAGACAGAGGTTGAAAACAAGCTCCTGAATGTTTCTGTGTTTGCCCAATTTCTATTCTTTACAAAGACAAATATAAAGTTCCCACCTCAATAAAAAGCTGTGAGCGAGCAAATACAGGCACGTCTGCCTCATAATACAACATTAAAAAGCTATCTTTGTGAATGCACGTGTTGTTCTTGCCTTGGACTGCATAGGGGAATCGCATATGCGTGTTTAGACGTAGGTCTAGGTCCAGATATCGGATATGTATCAGATTTAAAACCCCATTTGGAAGATCAGATTTTTTTGTGCCAGTGTAAACGCAGCCAAAGTGTCCATTAAATACACACTTGGAATCTTGGTGGAAATAGTTGATCATCAGGGTATACTTTTTGCCTACTGTTTTTCGAATACTTTGTATTCGGACATACTACTCTTTTGGCATACTGTTTTTCACACACAACATAGTAAGGAAGTATTCAATTACTGACGCAGTGCTGTAGTTTTCAAATAAGCCTAAGGTACTTGTTTAGCTGGATCAGGTGCACTAAATTAAATTAAGCTAAACTCTGCAGGGCTGTGGCCCTCCAGGAACTGAGTTTGACACTCCAGGTTTACGATATAACATACGTACATTAGATTGATTAATCTGAAAAACTGTGGCTGGCTGAATCCGAATTCCCTACGTTAGTCCACTAATACAGTTCGATTGAAGGAGTGAATGAAAACGAGTGAGCGTACATCGGCTGTACACTCGTTATTGCGGTGCAATGTGGGATAGAATGAGTGCACTCTATAACGTCCACTATGGTTTTGGACACCACTACAAATGGCTGTCCCCTCATACAATACCCTATTTGAGGGTATAGGGGGCTAAATTAGCCTGTGTTTTTTGCATAATGAGTTTAATTTTAAAAAGTATGTCAGATTTCAACAAACAGTTACATAGCTGTCATTCGTTCCCCAAATCAAGTAGATTGGAGCTGCACTTGCAAAACTAGAAATACCTACCAGGGCATTATGAATATAGTCAGTGAGCGAAATTACATTATTTACAGGGACAGTGATTTAAAGTCGATGATTTAAACAACATTCTAAGAGTTCAATGCTTCTAATTACAGTTTAGTTGCTCAGTTGAGTGCTGCACAAAGTCTGCAGATTTAATGAAAATTCGGTTTCCACTACCTACAGTCTTCGGGAGGACATTTGGTGGTAGAATGCGACATTGTGAATTTGTGTACTCTGTATACAAAGTGAGATTGATCACTCAGAGAATAGAAGTAACAACTCTATTTAGCTGCACTCTGTATGTATCCAGAGAGGCAGCAAACTTGATGGAGGGGATTAAGTTTAGCCGCAGTCCATTCCGTGATCAATTGGGATCCTATCCGAGCCAGCTTCCAATCCCAGACAAGTCGAAGATTGGGAAATGGTCCATTAAATGTTTAAAGGTGCACTAGAGCATTACATCTTACAGTCTGACTCAAAGCGGTTCATTCTGGGAATTAGATAATGTGTTATAGGCTTAGATCATTAGATCACATCAGTAGCCACAATGTTTGACTACAGTTTCTTTCAGAGAGAAGAAGAGATTAACAGCACACAATCAGGAGGGAGGGTGGTAGAGAGGCAGAGATGAAGAGAAAGGCACTGTTGCACCATCCTCTTTCTCGTTGATGTCTGACATTAAGCACCATGTGAATGTCCTCATCATCAGTGACACAACCGCACGGTCACAGCATTAGAAGCATGCAAGGCATAAAAGGGACTCAAACACACCACAGACTATTACTTCACAAAACAAAAAAGCCATACCATCACTAAGAGTTCAAGCCCTGACATGACATATTCATGCATTGTGAGTTTGCTTGCACAGCTTAAAAGCTTTTATCCATGTCTGTTATTTTAAGATCGTTCAAAATGCATTATGACATCATAAGCACTGTGTCCTTTCATCTTAAGAGTTATAAAGCTAAAACGTAACACCGGTTTCTCCCATACGTAACTTAAAGGGATAGTTCACCCAAAAATGAAATTTTGTCATCATTTACTCCAAAAGAAGATATTTTAAAGAATGTATAACCAGTTGACAGCAGCCATTGACTTCCATTGTATTTTTTTTCCTACTATAGAAGTCAATGGCTACCATTAACTGTTTAATTACCAACATTCTTCAAAATGTCTTTTGTGTTCAACCGAAGAAAGAATCTCATACAGGTTTGGAACAACTTGAGGGTGAGTAAGTGATGACAAAATTTTCATTTTTGGGTGAACTATACCTTTAACAGCATTCACCTGTGATCTTTGAAAACCATTAAAAATTCAGGTGTTCTTCATTACGGTGCAATGTGTTTAAAGACTCCCTCAAGGAAAATGTGGTTTTATCTTGACAAGTATATTATGATAAAGAAAAAAATATGAAGTATTATATTGAACACAATTTGAGTAACATGTTAAAGAACTCTGAGACACAACTACCTGGTAAGTTTCAATCACTTTTGGAATTTCATAATCTCACATATATTTTGAAACAACTTCTGTATTATTCTGCTATTATTCAATGTGCAGTGTACATCTTAGAGCTATAAAGAGTGACACAAACAATTCGCCATTGTGATTGAATCCGTCAATATGGATCCGTCACTTTGCACACCCATCTCAACAAATCCTTTTATCCGCACTTATGCAACACTATTTGTTACGCTATATAACAGGTGTTTAGGTATTTAGTATACTTGTAGCATGGGAGAAAACATCCAATGGGCTTTTAGCTGCAGCTCCTCATAGAGAAAACTATGTGTTAAGGGCTAATTCTTTAAATAAAGTCAATTATTAATTGTTATAATAATTAATAATTAATAATAATTTTAATTTTTTTTTAAAGAATAAAATTGGCTTTTGTTTAGATATTCTTGACAAAGTCTTAAGGTCTGGTTCCAACAGCAAAAACTCTTTACCAAAAAAACGGGCCAGAAATTGCCTGAAGACAATAGAAGGTTAAACTGGCTTTATGCAGATAGGCAATTATGTCCTTAACTATAGCTATGACCTCAGTTAAGGATATAAGACCCTATTATAGTTAAATACAGCTAGTTATTTATTTATGGATACCATTGAAGACACACTCATCTGCCAATGATGCACAAACACACACTCCAAATGAAATGCCGCTTTCTATGTACAACAATAAGACAAGTTCTATCATATTTAAGGTTTGAGACAGCCTCTCTCTCTCTCATGCACACACACACACACACACACCTGCAGCATGCGAACTCAACACAAACCACTCAGTATTTATGGGCTGCTTAAGTTAATTATTAATGACTTTTAAGACATGGAGTGCATCAAGTTGTACAGGCCTACTTTCTCCTTACTCAACACTGCCCTTATCAAAAGGTGTTGGCTCTTTAAGCTCCTGTTAGGGATCAGCTAAAGCGGCGCTCAGTGATTTGATCAAATAATGGAAAAGAGGCAAAGATTTTCTCCCTCTAATCCTCCAACATAATTACAACTGTAATGGCTATCCAATGCGAGATTTGAAAAATGATCCGTAAACACACACACATGCACAGACCCTTTGTTGCCAGGAGAGCAACTACACAGAAGAATTTAGAAGAGATGGCGATTTCTTGTAAACATATGGGTTTATGCTGGCATTAACCCAGAGATATACTCAAGGGGAAATTATTTTTTCTATTTCCTTTCCAGTGATGGATCCAAATATGGATGGATGAAGAAGAATGCAATTGTGACTAAAAACACAAAATAAGGAAATATAATTGATCTCATTCCAATTTTTACATTTATTCTGATTGCCTTCATATTAGCAGTAGGTGTTCTTCAAATTGTCCAGAACAGGCACATCTTACATTGATTTCTATCTGTGGGAGGTGGATGATATATTTTAGAAGTCTACCTTCATGTAGCATACCTAAATCAAAGGATGATATCAATGATATCAATTAAGGCTCCAAGGCCTGAACTGTGTTCTATATGCAATCATTTATATAGCTGCTATAAATCAACTTTATCTATGCACTGGTCATCTGCATTGCTTTCAAATGACAGACTGACTGTACCTTTTGATTCAGGTTTTTAAAAATGTGGTGTTTAATATTATGCCTATTTCTGAAACATGATAGGCTTGTCAAGTTCTCCCTCTGATTCCAAACAATTTCCCAAAATAAGCATAATAATGTGAGAATGCTTTTGAGATTCACTTCCTCCTTCCTGAAAAGGTTTAAAAGACCCCAACCAGGTTTCCTTTCTAAAGACTCTGAGGATGGGGTTTGAAATGGACCTGATCCACAGTATTTTTGATTTGACACTAAACTGTTCTATAAATGTCTAGAAGCAGTTAAAGGGTTAAGCTCAACTCCATATGCGACACGACTCATGAATTTCATGCTCTTACATATTTAGCACTATCTTATTTCTTGGTAGAAATCATTTAGTTTGCGAGTAGAACAACTCGGTAAGAGGGAAAACCATCAAACAAGTAGGCTAGCCTACATAAAACACAAGTTGAGAGAGTGTTATGAACATGAGACCCAGAACACAAGAACTCGATCTGCTGGAAGAGCGTTGAACTCAAGATCTGTCCTCCTTGGTGTCAGATGTTCTCCTGTAAATTACTTCAACATGTAGTAACACAAGCCGGGAATCACGCCACATAAAATCACAGAGACGCGATCTTCTTACCTCTTCCCACTTGATAAACTTGCTCCCCCGTTTGAGCACCTCATGGACAGACACCGGTTTGAGCTGTAACGCGTGTACTCCCGGTTTCGCCCCGGCCATGACTGCTGCTGAATCGACGGGTGGCGACGCCTCTGCTTCTCGGTTTGAAGTCTCTGACCTTTAGTGTATACAGAACCAGAACCAGAGCCTCGAGTCCGGCTGGCTCAACGCACGCGGACGCGACTGTCACACATTCACGAGCGAGCGCAGTTTATGACTTTTGCGATTGTTTATTAATCTAAGCGCTTATCACGGCAAGGACTTGAATTGATATTTTCCTTCCTGTCCGTCCATCCGCTTGGTAATGATGAGATCCCCGCTCAGGAGAAACTTTCACTTGACTTTGGTGGTCCCCGCTGGAATTTGCTCCTCTTTTCCTTCATGTTTTCTCCGAACTAAATGAGAGCGCGAGAAGAACAGGGAAAGAGAGAGAGAGAGACGGGGGGAGTAAGGAAGTGAAGGAAGAAAAAGCGAACAGACGAGGGAGTGTTTTTCTTTTCTTTTCTTCTGTCTTTCCGTTGTCATTCCAGTCTTTATAGAAGCATGTGCTGCTGTATCTAAGAACCATTGCTTTCGCTTTCCTAGTTTTGCCCCTGTGTTTTCCTCATTCCAAGAAAGAATGTTAAACGCGAATCTCGCTGGGGGCCAAAGCACTTGAGTTCATAAAAAAATAAAAAATAGTGCTGTCAATCGATTAAAAAAATAAAAACGAATCGCAAATTTAATCTCGATTAATTGCACTAACATTAGGCTATAGGTTTATTATATATATTTTTTATATTGTAATACTTTCCCAATTAATCTCCAAAATAATGTAGAGAAACAACATAATGACGGACATTTTTAATATTTGTTTGATGGCATCTTATTTTATTACTAAGCACTATTAAAGCCAGTATCGTTGATACCATATGATCTCTACTAATTAAATAGTTTTTTTCTTCTTCTCAATTTTAGTCATTAATTTAGTTATTCAACATTAGGCTAAGTCTATAATCGAAAGCTATCATAACATTTAAGTCTTTAAATTTAAACAATCTTCAGATAAACCCTTAACCCTCTATGGCATGACTTTTTGTTTCTTGGGGGGAAAAAATGCCCCCTAATAATGCCAAGCAATATTGTTGACAAACATCAAATGGTCAAACAAACATCACAAATGGTTTCAAGCAATCACAAACATCAAACAATTAACAAAAACAACTAGCTACTACACTGTAAAAAGTGCTACACCCACAAAGTAGGTTTTATATATTTTAAATATTTGTAATCTAGTTTATTTTATTGGTTTTATACAAAAAAAGTATCAAAATACTTCCTCTTTACTTAAAATATATCAGTTTTTATATAACAATATATTTTAAATAAAACCCATGCAATTTATTTGGGTAGTTATTTGTATGTGGTTGTTGTGTACAATAAATGTTATAAAAGTGAGTTGACAATGCACAATTTATTTGAGCAGCTGTCGATGTGACAGGTGTGTTCATCAAACGTAAATATTTTAAATTTAATAAGTTGGCATTATCCCTTTTTCACTGGCGGGGACTCCAGACAGATGCAATATCTTCCTCGGCACTTCAACTGTTTGGTCGCTGCAGCGGATCTGAATTTCAGGGTCTGATTAACACGGTAAGTTGAGCAAATTTAGCCGAATGACTGGTGATGTAAACTAAAGTCACGCAAAATCGCTTACTCCACTAGGGAGCTGAGGTTAGGTTTGCAAATTGTATAGCTAGCTATCCTGCACACATGGTAAGCTAAGATGGCTGCACAGTGTGGTCGATCGGCAGACAACAGCAGCGTTTAAAAACACATACAAGTTACGTATGTAATAATTATTTGCACAAATGCCCTCAGTTATATTGTTAGATTGCACAGATTAAATTTCGGGATCAAATGCGATCGAAACGGTCGCAATTTCGAGCCTTCAGGCAATAGTTGTGCGGGCAAATAAGGGAAAGTAAGATGTGATGTTTTATGGACAACACTTTGTTTTGTGTGTTTGTCTGACAGGACTCAGAGATTATGTTATTATACTTTTGCATTACTAAAGCAGATGCACAGATTAGACTGTAGAGATGTATGTTTAGTAGTCTGTCTGATTTTAGAGATTTGATCCACGTTATTTTAATGCTGCATAGTCAATTAATGACATATTTTTGGTCTAGATTTTTAAACTATTTCTAATCTATTACTTAAAGAAGTTACATTTACAACTGATTTTTTAACCTTATTTCTAACATCTAACATTTTCCCGGTCTTTAGATACCCAAGCACTTTTGTTACCTGGGGTCTTCGAGCTTCACATCCAGGTAAGACAAACTTCAGAATAGATTCAATTACAATTTGATCAGATTATACGTGTTCTGTAAGTCCAATAGACGTTCAGGGAACCTCCATACAAGGTTAAAAACTAGTTCAGATGTGGACATATTTTATGTAATTTAATGTCTCATTTAGACAATTTAAACTGTTTCTGGACCAAATAAACACTTTCAGGATGCATTAAATTGAAACTCATGTTTATTTCAACGTAATTTCTAATTGCAAAGCAACTCACAAACAGAGTAATGATTTCATGATTTTTGGACAAACACACACTGACAACTTTAGACAGTTTAGCATCTGTAATTTATACATATTTGGATCGTGAGAGAAATCAGATTCGAACCAGGGACCTTAAGCTGCCTGCCCTAAGTAGACAGTAATGATTTCATGATTTTTGGACAAACACAGTCTACTTAGGGCAGGCAGCTTAAGGTCCCTGGTTCGAATCTGATTTCTCTCACGATCCAAATATGTATAAATTACAGATGCTAAACTGTCTAAAGGTGTCAGTGCGTGTTTGTCCAAAAATCATGAAAAGAAACTTCACTGTCTGTTAATTGCTTTGCAATTACACATGGAAATTACATTGAAATAAATGTGAGTTTTAATTTAATATATCCTGAGAGTGTTTATTTGGTCTAGAATAAGTATAAATTGTCCAAATGAGACCTTAAATGATGTTGAAAATTGTCCACATCTGAACTAGTTTTCAACCTTGAAAGGAGCTTCCGTGAACGTTCATTACAGAACACCTAAAAAAAGTCGTAAAAACTTTCATTCTGGCTCCTCAGTGGACGTCTTTTCAATGCACGTCTTTGTGACAAAGACGTTGAAAAGATGTCTTTTGGACATAATTTTGCTTAGTGGGTTTATTAATATTGTGATGATATGGGGTGATTACGTTTGCTCTTGAAAGATATTTAAACTGTAGCTTAATTAACAGTAATGTGATGACCAATCAGGTACAGGCAAGGACAATTGCAATTGGTTTATTGTAATGCATCCTTTGAACCAGAAAAATACAACACTCATGCTAGAGTAGATCATGATATTTTAGTACCCACACTCTATGGCATTGTCATGGTAGACTTCACTCTGGTCACATGTTCTAGTCACAGTATCCATCTTGTATCCACCACCTTTAGCAACAAAAGTACAATTTGGACTTTGTGTCTTATCTCTTCTACCTGTCTGCTAATATTCATCTCATTTCCTATTTGTCTGACCAAACTCTTGTTTCTTTTTTGTCTCCACCAATAGAGTCGGGCTGAAACAGAGGTGCACGCTGAGCTTGGCAGTTGCCCACTGAAAATTTACATGTGCCATCACCCCGACACGATTGGGATTATCATATAAGGACAGCCCGTGGTCAGAGGTGTGCCAAACCTGTCGAAAGCATGCTGCCTCCTGTTTGAACTTACCTATGCTCTCGACCTCAAGTATCCCTCAAAACTGGTGTATACTTGAGATATATCAGAGGCTTTTTGTAGGATTGGACCCTGTGCGTCCTAAACCATCATCATGTCATTTTTGACATTGCAGTTCCAGTGTGATACAATGTGATGTTATGGCTCACATTTACCTTGATCCAAACATTTCAGATTGGGCAGTTTGGATATTTCACTGTACTGTTCAGAACAGGTTGAAAATACACTTCTACAGTGTTTGTTTTATATTAGAGTGTACATGTGCGGCCACATTTATTTGCTGTTTTGTAGTCACTGTTAAAAGTGACACTGGTTGACATTGAATAAATTATATATTGTTTTCAATCTATCTTCTCATCTTTTTCTTCTTCAATTGAATTTGTAATTGTTATTGACAATTAAAAAAAATATATTAAAATGTTTATTCACATATGATTAAGTTAATTTTACTAAGAAAACAAAGTTCATAAAACCTAATTAAAATGAGTACAGGTTACTTGTAGCAACTCATAAATAAGTTACCTGTACCAATACAAGTAGGTTTATCTAACTGAGTAATACTAGTACTATTAGTTAACTCAACTTGATTTTGTTGCGTTTGTATAAAGTAATGTTAAAGTGTTCAATATACTTAAAAAAGGCTGCAAGTTGAATCAACATAAAACATCCAATGCAGCCACTTGCCTCACTTTTTATAAGTTAGATCTAGGTATTACTTTTTACAGTGTACTACTAATTACAACTAACACCCCATAACACCTCATGTATAAATGTTCATATTCATATATTAAACATTTACACCAAACAAACACTACACATATACTCATTGACTATGGCAGCGTTCAAGTCATGTCAGATAAGATTGTAATTACGAGTTGAATGCATGAACGTCACAACAAAATTCGTAATTACAAGTGGGAAGCAATGGCGGAAGAAAATAGTTTTCAATCATGATAAATTTAATTCTCAATTTCGACAGTTTAATGTATTTTTTACATATTTATACTATTAATGAAGAAGAGAGATAAAATTTGCCAGAAAACACTATAGGCTACTCTTTTTGCCAGTTTATGAGCTGATGCATGAGTGACCAAACTACATTTTCCATCATTCTCTGTGGCAGTATAATAATAATAACAACAACAACAACAACAACAACAATGAAACATAAATTATGACACATAATGCGCATTCTTTGAGTTTTCCAAACTTGTAAAAACAAACTTCCCAGAAGAACTTGAATGCACCATATGGTCCTATGCAATTTCCGATGCAGCCTCACACACATTCATATATGAAGAACATACTTATTCAAAATAAGTACCTACTCAAGAGAGTATGTGATTTCGGATGCAGCCTAATTTTTTTTCTACTGGCCCAGATTTACTTGCCCTGCCAAACAGCACAAAAAAAGTTGTTTTTTGACCCATGGTATCCCTGTAAACAGTGCTTTAAGATTTTCAGGTCTAACAGGTAAATATACAGAAACTGAATAATTAAAGACTGCACAGTCTTCTCTACATAAATTGTAAATTGAAGATTGTCCTTATTAAAGCTACAAAAGTTATTCAGTCAAGAGCAGTGTGTGATTTTCTCTTTGTCTTGTTACTAACATTAATGACAAAGAGAGAAGCATTCTGTTCACGTATTTAGGGTGTTAGTTCACAGAGAGTGTAGTACAGATTTGGGTTCTTTTTTGCATCTTATTGCACTTGAATGGTTTAATAGCACTTCATTGAATGATAGCGTGATCTTATATTGTAGTGCAGCCAAAGGATAACAGAAAAAAAACAATATTGTTAAAA